ATTGAGACCCCCCCCCCTTCCATAAGCCCGGATCGCAAAACAAGTTCTGGGGGGGGGGGGAATTTATATTAATGTCACGGTAAATTAAGGAATTTGGACTACAACTCAAATGTGAATCAGCCCTGTGGCGAATGAAGCCTAAGCATGAGCAACCCAATATGTTAAGGGAGTTTTCAGGTGGGTAGTAAACAGGTGCACGTGGTGGTACCCTTCCATAAGGTTCTTCTGATACGGAGCACTAGGACTAAATAGGGGCTATATAAGACTTAAAGTGGGAAACTACCCCCTGGAACGTCCTTAGAATCTTCCTATAAATCTGCGCAGAGCAGACCCGAAGACCCCAAGCTCCAGCTCCAGCGCTGCCCCTTGCTCAGGGAACCACACCTGCCATAAACAGTGGGACTTGCTTTGAAGCGAACTGGAAAAGCTGTTGTAGGGCCGCTGTTGGAGGCTCCATGTTGTTCCAACACAGACATGATTCTGGCATGAGCAAAAGCAAAGGCCAGCCACACCGGAATTCGGTAGATTCCACCTGGCACTGCTGCAGGAGAAGCCACAACCTCAGATCTCCAAGGAAGGCTGCATCAAGCCCAGAAAATGGAAATGCACTTCAGTGCTGGGTTGGACCACAACCTGCATAATTGAGGCAGGCTGGAAACAGGTCAGACAGCTGGAACCGCTGACACACCGCCGCCGCATACTGGGCACAGAAGCAGCAGCCAAATCTCAGCCAGGTGGCATGGGGTATTCTCAGATGCTGTAGCAAAGTTGACAGCGTCTTTTCTGCCTCTACGCAGCAACAAGCTGGTGGATCAAGTCTGATGCAGAGGCCTTGTTAATGCTTCTATCAATACTGGAATTGACACCCAAGCAGCTGGCAGCCCCGCAGCACCAAAGCATAACGCAGCAGCGGTTTCATGAGAAAATTACTGCCTCCGTCTGTGGTGGCAGCCCATGCGACTGGGCCGATGCACTGCGCGGCGCCTCCCCCCAGCCATTCAACGTCAACTACTTACCCTTGCTATTTATTATGTGGTAGGCTACCAACTCATTTTTTGTCGTACCTTTTCTCCAAAGCTCGGTTGCTCCAGAGATGCCATTTCTTTGGGGCTTGTGTGGGGCTACTTTTGGGATCCGTTTGTCGGTACAATCACTGAAAATGCTCAAAGCACACACCTTGATTTACCTCATCGCTGTAGCAGTCCTTAAGCAATCCCCCGACAATGACCACCATCATCTCTCTACCCCATTCACTGAGGAAGCCGTGGCAGTTGTTGAGCAGACTCTCCCTCAAAAAGGTTGGGCAACATCCCTGGTGCAGCAAAAATGAGCAGGAGATGACTTGTGAAGGCTCGCCTGCGGGCCAGCTGCTAAGACCTGAGCCAATCACGAGGCAAGGAGCTTCAAACAAATCCTGATGCTTTGCTTCTATACGCTGTCCTGGTAGAAAAGCCCAGCATGTCTTTTTCCCCCGGCACTGTCGCAAGCGCTTCAGTAGTCACTCCACTCCCGCGTCTCTGAGCACTGGAGCTGTTGGTATCCAGCGCCATCTTGGAGCAGCGAGCCTGCCCTGTATCACACAGCTCGAACTTCGAGCTTGATGACTTCCACGTTGATCGACGGCTTGCACGCTGAGCTGCCTGCGAACAAAAGGATACACCATGGACCCCTGCGTGTTGGAGTAATTGAAGTTAATCAAGATGGGACTGCTGGTGAAAAGTTCGCAAAACAACGAACGCTAGCACATTTAAGTGTCCAGCATTGCAGCGATTGCTAGTGCTATTCCTGTAGCATGTGTAGCAAGATAAAGCCAACAGTTGCAACAGCAATACCCAGTAAATAGAGTTCTGTTTATAAGGAGATCATTCATGACCTCGCACTCTCGAAACGCCCAGCCTCCGAGAAGAAAGAAGAGAAGCTGCAAAGAAAGGCTCAGCAGCTCTTTATTGCTTGCCACGGAACCAGGAAAACCAGCCACCACCTGTGTGGTCATCGAGAAGCGAGGAGAGTCAACATGCATCATGGAGAACGACCTATCCAGATCTCAAAGGAGCTCAATGAAGCTTGACACTTTGTAAACAAGGTTGACTTGCAGCATGATGCAACTGGTGATACTAAATGCCTGAATACCTGCGGTCCCGTCGCTATCAGGATCCCTGCTAGTTCGTTTCAACCTGACCACCCGTCTAGCAAAAACATGCGAAAACAAAACTGGAAAAGGAAAAAAAGACGGCCCTTACTCCTTGCTCTTCTCAGTAATGTCATGCGTGAGGATTGTTGGAAATGTCCTGCCTCGTCCTTGGCAGCAGTATCTTCTCTTCAACTTTAACTATGATCCAGCATTTCAAAAACCCATCAATTCTCTATCTGTATACGGTCTGACTGGCGTTCTTGGGCACATGGCAACCATGGCAGTTACCAAAGATGAGGGGGCCCAACCCACGTGACAAAAACTTTTGAGGGACCCCGAGAATGGAACCCTAAACCCTAACCCCTCAACCCTAAAGCCAGTCTTGATGCAACTCGTCAACCCGAACCTTGAGCCCTTTCAGATGCCTTCACTCTGATTATGGGGCCATCACAGACAACTTCCTTAGAAAGCATATCAGGGGCAGACAATCACAGAACCCTAGGGTCACTTACAGGGCTTCCTTTGGGATCCAAAATGAATAACTACCAAGTTTCATTTTGAGGTCTGTTAGAGGTTCTCCGTGTTATAATATAACAAGGGATTTGAGGCTACGATGCTGGTAAAAATTTAGGCTTCTACCTTACAACCCCTATTAACCCGTATGTTATTCCAGTTTTCAGTTCAGGTTCCATTTTCTTGTCATTCTGATTCTCCGTTATTACTGAACCTATATGACCCTGTATGGCCCTGTGAACCCCTATAGCCTGAAGAACCCGCAGCTTCCATTTCTTTCAACAGCATGGGTAATATCCCTAAAGCCTATAATCCTTTAATAATCCTTATATAACCCCATACTCTGATAAAACCCGAACAGTAGTTTCCCGTTTCTCTGCCATTCCTCCCTATAGAAACCCCTAGACTCGTAAACCCTCAACCCCAAAGCCTCAACCCTCAACCCTACAGCCTCAACCCTAAACCCTAAGCCCTGAACCTTAACATCCCTGGCCTTGTTTGGAGTCCGAGGATGCTGGCTCTGAGCCTAACTGCAGTGCTGCAGCAGCTAGGGCAGTGCCATCCTCACAGGTTACTCCAACAGTCTCTCCTTGGGTAGGGATTATATAAGGCTTGTGTAGGGATGCATGCGGCTTATGTTGGGATTGTATAAAGCATCTGTAGGGGTTATACAAAGGGATTAATTCTACACCCAAAGTGGAGAATCCACTGAGCTACAGGCAACATGTCCGACGTATCTTAATTGACAAGGGTTCCTTATTAGGGACTGTATCAGGGACTATACTAAACCACAAGAGGGACCCCTATGTCCAGAGTTAAGGGCCCCTTGATAAGGCTATAGTGACAATAGCTCAATCGGAAACGAAAGCGAAAAAATGAAACGGAAACTAGTTTTACATCGGGGTTTGGCTCTTTTGCTGCTACCTCGGATATTAGGGGGCATATTGTGATAGGGACCCAACACAATAGCCATAGATTTGACGCCCTGAGACTTAACAACAGCTAGATAACATGATGAGCTCAAACGCTGTCCAGCAACAGCTAGATTTAACAATCGAGGGGCTTGACAGGCTGTATGTAGGATCTATCGAGGTTGCCAAAAAGATTCGGAGAGGCAGGATAGCCAGGCTCATCATGTGTTGCTTGGGCTTCTTGAGACTTGGTTCACCTCTCCTGTACATCCTTACGGGCAAACCATCTCCCACTAGAGCTGCCTGCCAACCAGCAGCCCCTAACAACTTACAATAAACAGGCCATAGCTGGCTCTAGTGTCAAACCTCGAAGATGCGGACACTCATGACTGAAGCCAGGGGAGGGCTTATGGTTTGCAGGCGCATTTGGATCAGCAGGATACGAACGGCAGTGACGGTATTGGAAAGAACAAGGACACCAGTGACCAGAATAGTAGCCATCATAAATCATAAGTCATCGTAGTAGCAATCATCAACATGGTGATGGTAGCAGGGGCAGGACTACTGAACGATGGTACGTCAGGTGACACCAACAGGGGTGGCCAATCCAAGCACTCTCTCCTGGTACCCGCTGGCAAACCTTGCAGCGCAACGGAGGCAAAACGTCCAGAACTCCCCCTACTGGCACCCAACGAATATGTCTACCGTGCAGACCGATCATGAAAAGCAACAGCATGTACACTCGTCACGTGCGCCGGACTTTGAAAATTCTAGAGCTGTGTCGGGTGTTGCATTACGAAACAGACCCTGTGCACAATGGGAAAACACCAAGATCATATCACACAATGTACACTATGCACGGCCAGGTGGCTGAGGCTGCGAATCTCCCTCCTCGACGTCAATGTCGTCTTCCTTCAGTGCTTCCACTTCTTCAGGCTCCTCTGGATCATCAAACTCCTGCAGGTAGTATGCCTGGTTCCACACACAGGCCTCTCTAACTGCACTGATGTTGGAAAACTGGAATGTTGAAATACTCCCATTGCCCATGGTTCTGTGTTGCACATCAGGCTGTCCTCCTCCCTGTCGAGTGATGCACTCGGCATTGCAACGGCCTGGAGCAAAAAGCCCTGAGCAGAGCTGTGAATTAAACAAAGCTGCGAGTGAAGCCCAGCGCCTGCACAGCTTCTGCTTTCGCTGCAGCTTCTGCCTTTGATGCAGCGTCGGCTTCCGCCTGCGCAAGAATTACTTACTCCGAATTCTGCCAGTGCTTTCCACGCCTCGCGCTGTCTGCGCTCCACCTCCTCCTGTGTTCATCCAGAAGTCTGGAATGCAAAGCTCATGCGCTGTCAAGCCATGCAAACAATGTAAGCCCCGAATGCCAGTCTTCTCCTCTTTTCGCACACGCTCTTCCTCTGCTTTGCGGGCCTTTGCCTGCTCCTGGATATAGAAGCACAAACAGCGAAGCGAAGAATGCAAGCGCCCTTGAGCTGTTCAGCGATTCGGGTGCGCCATCCAGTGAAAGACTTGTGGAGCAGCGACAAGTCTCCTTCTCCTCGCTCTCTTTATGCTTGGCTGTGGCTTTGGCCTGCTGGACATTCAATGAGTGGCAAGGCCGCAGAACGCAGTATCTGACAGCACCATCGAAAGTCCACAGACCACCTTTTCGACTGCCGCCTTCTTGGCCTTGTCAGCGGCCTCTGGATAGAAGAAGCGTTGATTCAGGCACAACTTCCACGAGCAATCATTCAGCCCAACCAGTTTTGACGCTTCAAGGATATCTGAGATAGCATGCAAGTTCATAAAGGCAATCAGCCATTGCACGCTTCCCTAACACCCATTGTCATCATCGCCTGCTTTCGGTCCTTCTTGTTTTGTGGAGCTTTCTTTAGTTTCGCTTCAGCCACCTGTCAACGAAACATTTGGGACTACCCAGGAAGAGCTGGCAATGACTCAAATGCAACAGCACTATAGTACCGGCAGCTCGAGCAGCAGCATTAATAACAATCGAAATAAGTAAAATAATCACAGCAGTACTCGCAGCCGTAGTGCTAGTAGCAGCAGCAGCAGATAGCAGCAGCACGTTGCAGTAATGCTTAGCGGTAGCAGTGGGGGTAGCCGTGGTCGGGGCAGAAGATTTAGCAGCATCAGCCGCAGCCGTACCCGTAGACGTAGCTATGCAAGTTGCAGTAGCAATTGCCGTAGCGGGAGGAGGGGGAGCGGAAGCCCCAGCAGTAGCCGTGTAGTAGCAACAGAATAACAGCAATGAAAGATCGTAGCAGTAGTAAGAGGAAGGGGAGCAGCAGTAGCAGTAGGAGCAGGACAGGGAGGAGCAGGTCAGATGCCACCAGATGCCTCCTCCTGGCTAGGTGCTGAGGCAGATGGGGCCTGCGCCTGACAGCATATGGGATCTAGCAAGATAAGGGCTTGGGGACGACCCTTTCAAGGGATTAGGGAGAAATAGGGAGTTGGGGCTCCTTTGGCAAGGACTAAGATTGAGGGTTTCTTGGAATGAAGGGACGCTTAGCTTGGGGACCCTGGGGGTATGAAAGCATGGCAAGGGGATAACGGGATTCTGATCTGAAGCCATGTGGGTGCTTACATGTGCTTACCAAAATAAGTAGAAATATCTCGGCATACGGTCAAAAAGCATCCAATTGATTAGGTCCCCCGGCTCGATCTCAAAAGGAAACACAACTTTTTAGGGCTTTCGCATACCATTGATCCCTGCAAAGACCATTCGGTCCCCTAGAGGATTCTTGAAGGACCATGTGGAGGAGCGTTCTTGCTCTTTACACCTTGTGACTTTCCGCGTTTGGGCAACTAGGACAAACTGTTGTTTTCCAAGCCACAGGCCAGGCCCCGCCTCGGGAGGGATCGACTTCTCCTCCTCCAGAGCTGGGAAATGATTTCTTTCGGTGTCTCACACGGAGATCTATGAAGATCTTTCGGAAATCGGGGCATGTCAACTACAGCCTCGAAGCCACACATGTGAGCCCGACATCTGTGAATAGCTCATATCATACACGCATCTCGAAGGAAGAGAGCGGACGTCAGTCGCCCATACAAATTCTGAACACTGCTTTATTTTCATGCAAGCCGCTCAGGAAACAATTCTGATGAGGAATGACTCTCTCCCCACTACAAGCCTTCTTAAATCCTTCTCCGGATAGAGCTGTCACTGGTGTCCTTCTTGGCCTTAGCCTTGGCCTCAGCTTTGGCTTTGGCCTCAACTTTGACCTCCTCTGCTCTTTGCACCTGTCAGCTGGCAACTGCTTGCATGGGATTGCGACTTGGATTCAATCCACAATCCCAGCACAATCCAACCCCAGCAGCCATCTTGATACGTGCCCTCAACATCGTGAACCATCCAAGTAAACGCTTCGAACCCCTCACATGGAAGCTGGCGAAGAGCATGGTATATAGTTCCCCTAACGTCGATAGAATATGGCTTGGGTATATAATAACAAGATACCCATGTACCCCATATTCTATCTACTTAAGGGGGACTATACGCCCAGAGCTTGGAAGCTGATCTGTCCGGCTCACAAACACGCTGCAGGAACGCTCTTGTTCAACTGCAGTCCCACACGGCGCAGAAGACTCAAACACAATCAACCATGCGCTTTCCAAGCACTCCAAACGACACTTTGTCCCTGACTGCGTTTGGGTTGACTTCTTACTAATATCTTTCGCTGCGGATGGCAGACAGGCTTTTTAGGAAAATGCTCCGAAGCGCTTCAGCAGCACTGGAAGAGCCTTCGGAAGAGCCGTTTCCCGCAAAACAGTTGTACAGGACATCATCAGTTTCTGATGGCCCCTCAAAACTTCTCTCACAACAACTTCTCAGTAGTCTCATGACTTGGACCCCAGGAGCCCCTCCCAACCTTCTATACCGACCCTAATATAACCCTAACATAATATGCCCAATATAACCCCAATATAACCCTAGTACAACCCTAAGAATCTGAGCCTGTGCAGGTGCTTGACTGGGTTGTGCCGCAGCCTCGCTGGCCTTGTGTGGAAAATATGGGGGTTTCCTAAAATTAGGGGTACCCTCTTGGGGGTCCCTATAATAAGGACTATAGTATATTGGGGTCTATATTAGGGTACCCCAATTTTGGGAAACTACCAAATAGCCTTAATCATGCCGTAATCTGTGTTGGAGCTTTAAAACACCCCACTTTGAATACTTCTTGCTCGCCAGCAGCAGCAACAATTACATGGACGCCTCTCGAAAGTGCCTTGCGCACCCCACATCCAATGATTACATGGTGCTTTTGGGGGTCCCTCTCAAGGACTTTGCAGAAAAAGGTCTGAAAAGCATCCACAAGAGCAGCTCCGTCAATGCGATCTCGAAGTTTGTGACTTAACACACCTCCGCCGCGGTTTGAGCATACCCTGTACTCTGCAAATGCAGAAACTGGAACACCAGGGGATCGCCTGACCGTATATGCAGCTTCCTGCCACAACGTGATACATCCCCCATGAACAACCCAGGACAACAAGTCATCATCTCTGATATGACCTCACCTTGAGCAAATCAATCTGCAGCAAGCCTAATGCCAAGATGAGCCAGTCACTGTACTAGAATCTGGAAAATTTGAAGAAGTTGCACTCTTTTTTAAGCCTCGGGACATCCCCCCAAGCCCCTGGCCATCCCTGCCTCGGGAGGGGCCGACTCCTCCTCCTCCACAGCTGAGTTAAGCTAAAACTTCTCTTGCTGTCACGGGGATCTATGAAGATCTTCCTGAAACCTCCTGTGGCTAGGAACGGCACGACACCTGCCCTATCTTCAATGGCATCCGGTGCCTGCTTCTTGCCCTTCTTTCCTTTCGGCTCCTGAAGGAAACGGAGATTTCGCGACTGTCGATACTAAGTTTCACCCAGATGCCTAGCTGACCCCGAGGTTTGCCGACTACAGCCACGAAGCCGAACACACGAGGCCGACAACTGCATCGACTCCCAATCAAGACCCCTCATATCATATACGCATCTCGAAGGAAGAGAGCGGACGTCAGTCGCCCATACAAATTCTGAACACTGCTTTATTTTCATGCAAGCTGCTCAGGAAACAATTCTGATGAGGAATGACTCTCTCCCCACTACAAGCCTTCTTAAATCCTTCTCCGGATAAAGCTGTCACTGGTGTCCTTCTTGGCCTTAGCCTTGGCCTCAGCTTTGGCTTTGGCCTCAACTTTGACCTCCTCTGCTCTTTGCACCTGTCAGCTGGCAACTGCTTGCATGGGATTGCGACTTGGATTCAATCCACAATCCCAGCACAATCCAACCCCAGCAGCCATCTTGATACGTGCCCTCAACATCGTGAACCATCCAAGTAAACGCTTCGAACCCCTCACATGGAAGCTGGCCCGTTGCGGTCTGTCTGCTTCGTTGCGCATTGACGCTGAGTAGAAACATTTGCGGCTTTGAGGTGGCACCCGTTCTTCAGCCATCTCGCTGCTTGCGAGTAAATACCATCAGCGAAGCGTGTGTCACGAGTCCAACTGAGGAAGTACCGAAGTGCCGTTCCCGGCACTACACTAACAGAGCCGAAACCTCAAACTACTGGCACTACAAACTCCTCAGTGTAAGTGCTATAGACCCTGCAATCCCAGAAATCCTTCTGTACCAGAATCCGGTCGTGCCTCTACAGGTGCTTGACTGGGTTCCGCCGCAGCCTCGTTAGCCTTGTTTGGAAAACGCAAAAGGGTTTCTCAAAAGAAGCGGCCCTTGCAAACCGGACGGAGAGATACGAGCCGCAGAGGGAGTACACAGGCGACATCAGCGTTTGGCGAGGCATATGCAAGATAAGGCTGGCAGACGAAGAGAGCGAGAGAGAGAGAGAGAGAGAGAGAGAGAGAGACACACACACACACACAGTCAAGCATTGACTCTGGCCGTGTGCTTTTGCAGATGCTCACTATTTCTGGAAACCTTTCCTTCGCGGGATGCTAGAACAAATGCATGATTCTGAGAATACTGTGAGGCTGAGGGCCTCGCTGCCGCTGTAGGCCTATCCTGCAAAACGAGCTCCTGCTCACAACAGCATTCCCGAGTGTAATGCTGTCTGCTACATTCCATGCAAACACCCTGGATCTATCACATGCTTATTGGGCAAGTTCTCTTCTTCGAACACCAAGGTCTGAACTCGCCGTATGTAGAAAGTAATGAACTATCCAGTTCCATGTTGCTTCGCGCTTCATCCTAGCCTTGCAAGGCGAAGTCTCGCTCATGGTGGAGTTCTCCTTGCAGACCTCTTGACAATTGGAGAGACGCAAAAAACCATCACAGAACCCCTCGCCTCTCTCATCCCAGTCTCACAGGCCAAGGGGGCCTTCCAGCTTTGGCTTTAGCTACTCTTTTGGCCAAACCACGAAGCGCAAACTCAGGCTTCCGCCTGCTGCATGCGATGCAGCACTTCCTCCATGCAGGCGTGCACTAATGATGGCGAGGTGAGTCGTGCGGTTGGGGCCCAGCGAGATTTAGCGACACCGCGCCACCAGAAGTCAAGAAGGTGGCAATTACAGCGTAACCGCGGTAAACAAGTGCCTGCTGAAGAAATGTAGGGCCACGTCGGGTGGATAACCCCAAAAACCTATTTGCTTTCTAGCTGAGAAATGAGGTGTACCCAACAATTTAGGGCCATTTCTTGTTTGGCTTGGCCCTTAGGAGCTACGTTTCTTGTTTTCGGAGTTTTCCAGCATCCAAATAAGACATGTAGGGGGCTACGTTTCTTGTTTGGGGAGTCGCCAGCCTCCAGAAACGCCTGAAACAAGAATGTACGGGGGTTTCTTACTTTGGTGGGTTGTCTCGCTCGGGGGCCTGTTATATTGCATAATAATGGTTGGAGGTTCTGTGGCCTAATGGGTAAGATGCCTCTATGTATGACAGACATTGAAACAAGAATGGGCTCGAATGCCAGAATAAGAAATGGGTTTAAAAATCAAACCTGACAGCTAAGCACCTAGAAATGTGTAAATGCTAAATCACTGCATTGAGGGTAGCGGACCCATTTCTTATCCAGGAGATGCACTGTAGTCCACGTTAGACCCTCAGAAACGAATTAGGATCGCCTACGTGGGCAGCCGCAGCCGCCGTCAAAAGTGTCAACAGTCACAGGGATGGGCCGCCTGGGCTTCCCAAAGGCCTTCCCAGAAGGGGCCTCGGGTTCGCGATCCTCGTAACTGTCCTCGCTTTTGGAGCCCTCGTCTTGTCGCATGTCAAATCAAGTGTCAACAATCAGAGGGATGGGACGTGTCGGGGTCGCCATCCTCGAAACAGTCCTCGTTTTTTGGAGCCTCGTAACTTCATTAGGAAGAGAGCATAAGAGAGGAAGAGAGGAGGGAGGAGAGAGGATTGAGGAGAGAGGAGGGAGGAGGAGAGAGCAAAGAGAGGGCAGAGAGGAGAGAGAGGAGAGAGAGGAGAGAGAGGAGAGAGAGGAGAGAGAGGAGTAGAGAGAAGATGACCCTAAGTTCCCTGATTTGCGTGACGCGTGGGGTGTTTTGTCCTTCGCCATGTATGTGTCACGTGTCTGCATTCGGGTTCGTGGATCCTGGTATCAGCTTGTTTCATTGGATTCAAAAGCTAGGGGCCCGCACATACCTCAGAAACATCCCCAACCACTCTCATCCTAATTCAGAGACTTCCAATAAAAAGGATGCCTGATTTTTGGAAACCCTAAATCCCCACAGGCCCTTTGCCTCAGGATGTCTTGTGGTCTTGGGTCCTTGTATACCCGTTCTATACCCCATAACACCCTACAAATCCAATGGAGGGCCCACAGCTACGAGCCCACATTAGGCGGCTATGAAAATGTACTCACCTACGTCTTGCCCTGAAATCACACTGTAAGTACGTACATACATACATACATACATACATACATACATACATACCTACCTACCTACATACATACATACATACATAAATACATACGTACGTACATACGCACATACGTAATCATACGTACATACGTAATCATACGTACATACGTACATACCTACATACATGAATGACTCTATGCATGTACATGGCCCTACACATATGCCTCTCTATGGTACTTGTTCAAAACAACTGTCTCCAATATGGCCATCATGTAGGGATCTCCCTTTAAGCAGGTATATTCCCAACAGTTCCTGTTCCTCCTTTAAAATGACCTTCAGAAGAACCCTAGATCTCTAGATAACCCCTTAAATGCGCCGTCAGCCTCACACTGCTGGCTTAGCGCTTCCACGCGCTCGCGGCGTGCCGAAGCAGTGCTGAGAGCCTTGGGGTTTAGCAAAAACAAGAATAAGAATAACAATATTCATAATCATCATAATAGTGGTAATAGTGACGATAGGGTTTAGGCTTCAGAGCCTTAGGGTTGAGGACTAACGTTGACTTATCGCATGGAGGCTTTTTTGTCAGGGTTTGCGATATGGCTGGAATCGGATGGAAAAAGGGTGCTTCAAGGACCAAATAAATCATTAGAATGACACAGAAGCGAAAGGAAAAGTGAAAATTTTACAGATAGACTGGCGTGATGTAAGGATTTATAAGGCATAGAGTGCGGGCTTCGGGGCTTTGAGTGTGGGCCTGGCTCAGGCTCAGGGAAGCCCCTTTCAGGGTGCTGTGCACAAACTAAGTGATCCCAAAATTTGAACAGTCTCCACGCACCAGCATACAACAGGCTGCTGGGGGCCCAGTGTAAAAGCATCAGGCCTGCAGCGATGATTCATGTTGTTCTTCTGCTCGCTGCTGAAGCCTCAGGCTTCAGGGCGCCTACTGTCGGGTTATATTCGGGTTATATAGGGATAATGGAAAAGAAAATGGAAACTACTACTTAGGGTTTAGGGGCTTGCAGCATACCAGATTGAACGCATGGTTGATGTTAAGCTATATGAAGCATCTCGTCATATGCTGCATGTGACATATCCTCAACTTGCTCTAAATCTCAGCTGTTCCCAAGACATGCTGACATGCTGCGCTGCATAGCTCGACTCAAGCTGTTGAGTGGACGTCTTCACCTGTTGCAAAGATCTCACATGAAATTGTAGGACATCACTAGACTAGGCCAACCCGAAAGAGAGATCTCTGGGTGTGCCTGCTGCTTCAGTGCCTCAACAGCTTGCAATACCTGACGAGGAAGATCAGGAGTCTAGACTACAGCTCACATGGCACTACCAGTGTTGTCTTGGCATCACGAATTCCAGCTTGACCTGTCCTCCGCCAACTCTCCCTGCAGCTCTGCCGGAGCCGGCGCCATGCTTGTACAAATCGATTGTGTGTGCGCTGTTCAAATGGCTTCATATGGTGTCATGTTCTGGTTTCGTGTGGTTGCATCCATGATCCGCGTACAAGGTCCTTCAAGTGCGGCAGAAGCTTCGAACGGTCAACTTGTCTGAAAGCTGCAGAGGCTCGTGGCAGCCTGATGCCAAACATATATCAATTGTCTTGAGCATGAAAGTGGCGCTCTTGATCCACCAGCAAGCTCTTGGCTATTGTCACCAGATACCAGAGCCATGTCGTCCATTCTGACACTTGATGAGTTGAGTTGTCTAGCTGGCAAGCCTTCTGGACGACAAAACTCACTGCTCGCCAGAATTTTACAACAGCCCACCGGCAGTTAGGCAATCGGACAGCCTGGCTACTTTTCGCAGAGGCCCCGGCCGCAGTGGACCAGTGTCCTGCTGGTTCCGGAAAATGCTGCCTGGGTGGACTGGGATTAACTGTGCACGGTGACACGATCTTCGGCTACTCTGCAGGGCCCCGCGCTGGCAGTGCCAGGCCAGCTGCTGCAGTGGACGAAGGTCGAGTGGTGTAAGTGCCGCCAGCAACTGGTCCTGAGCACAAGCCAGGGCTCAACGCCACTGCTACCTTTTACGCTGCTCTGGGCACGACTGTGGCCAAGGCCCCCTCAACGTCGCCGGCATCGCCAGCAGCCAGCAGCTTCCGAAGTTCAGATTCCGGGCCATCCAGGACCAGCAAGGCCCACCTAGGCGTCAACTCTAAGAAGTTTCCTCTCACCACCCTTGCCCTGTACTCTTCTTTCAAGGTGCGCGAGGCGAAGAAAGCTGACCTTCACAGGACAGCACCATGTCAACTTCCTGAAGCTTCGGTCATCAAGCTGATTTGGGCCCATGCCTTGTCGGCGATGTCACTAACAGGTGAAACGTCCTCACGCATGAAAAAAAGCCAGCGCCGGTCATTGAAACAGCATGCTTCTGCCAACCTGAGCCAACACCGTCATTTGAGATATGAGTGCCCGCGCGGCACCCGCATGCACATTCACCTGCTCCACAGACGGCTGGAGCACTTGGATGGCTATAGCAAGAATTGCATTTTTGTGCCGCAGATGCGTACATTGCGCCTCTGCGCAAGCCCAGCAGATGCGGGCAGCCATCTGCACCTTCAATGCACAATGCCGCGCTCACTACAACCTGCAAATGCGGTTTCCGCAAGAGCCTCCGTAACGCTGACTTGCAGCAGCTCTCCTTGACAGGATTGAAAAATCAACTCGCATGTCTTGCGATCCTCTTGAAATGTGCCGCCGAGTAGCCGAGGAGCTCTTGCAGCGGCGACCCATCGAAGCCCAGGGCAGCACAACCGAAGGCTGTGTCTGGCAAGGGAGTTCACTGCACTTTTCTTCAGCTCGTACCATCCATCACTTCAGGCCTGCAGCAAGCTCCTGCATTGTGTGCTGCCGTGCGGTCGAAACAACGTCCTCCAAGCCATGTGACACGCACAGACCGAAAAACACTAGGGCTTCGCTAGCTTCAGCGCTTCTGAAGTGCTTGAAGCTGCTTGGACTGAAGTTGCACTGAAACAGGGTCGTTCCTGGGCCACCGTGGCCAAGGCCCGCTGCAGGACCTCGGACTGCTGCGCCTGTTGCAGCTCAGTCTGGAATGGAAATTGAAAAGCATGCCCATAGTTTGCCCTTGGCCAAGACATTCTGCACCTGTGCCATTGAAGCAAGATTTGAGCCACACTGCGGCCTTGTCATGTTTGTTGGCCTTTGCAGCCTAGACCTTCTCCGGCAGTTTGTGCAGGATACTCTGCTGCCGCTTGTCGGCCACTGCTCAACTTGAAACTGAATGTGTGCTGGCAAGGAAGAACTTTATGCTCGCTGCTGAAGACATCCGACGAACACTGGATTGTATGTATCGCATCCAGTGTTCGTCAGTGGTGTTCAGCCGTCAGCCCCAAAAACTCATAAGAATTGGTCATGATTTTATGAGACTTTCACGGCCACCATTGTGCTTGTGCCCTCGCAATGTGGTCCAAAGGAGCAAATGTTTAGGAACTTGAAAGAGTTCTGTGGACATGGAACATGCGGCTCACCCACCTCCTTGGACCTCCCATGCTGTAAGCATACCAAGAAGGACTTCAAGTGGCTCTCGTGGATGCGGGGATGAAAATCAGAATATTTCAGTGATGCTGCAGAGATACTAGGTGCTAGGTAACATCATACAGAAAGACTTGGGGATCATACAGCGCATCTGCCTGCTCTCCAATTGCAGCTCAATGAGGAATGGAAGTTGAAAAGTGGCACTAATTTTGCCAAATTTGCCTTTCGCCAAACATGAATGGATCCATGCTCCACCCTGGCCAGGCCTCATTGCGTGCCTTTGCCGCTATCTCCTCATCCTTGCAGAAATCACCCAGTCGTAAGGCACGCTTCAAACAAGTGGGATGGTCCCCTTCTTCAATAAAGATGCCAAGATCTTTGCAGAGGAGCTGAGCACCTGGACCCCTTGCTTGTGCCCTCAAGTTGCACTGGTGCTGATTTCATACTCCATGGGTCGCAGCCCAGCAAAGATTTTCCAAGAAATGGGATCGGAAGTGTTGCACAATGCTGGAACAAATCAATCTACCATTGATGTCAGTTCAGAGCCCTGCAGCAAACCAATTCCAACCCAGGAACTTGGAGGGTCAACGTGGACAGCAATCTTCGCCGAGGCCCAGGAGTAGCAGACCTCATCTATGATAAGAGAATCTATAAACGGCTCCTGTACACTGAAAAATCTATAAACGGCTCCTGTACACTGAAAGGTTAAGGCACAAATTGGCTCTACCATGCTCCACTCTTGGTGCAGTCAGATGATTTCTGAACTTGGGATCATTCTTTGCAGGGCACTACCGCTTGGAGCTACTCTCATGCCGAGGCACTGCAACTGCCTTGGCAGCTGCGCCAGAGTGGCCCTAAGGAGCCGCGTATCCAGGCCTCAACCAGACTCACTTTTCGATGGCTTCTACCATAACTGCCAATGCTGCTACAATACCAGGCGACTATTAATGGCACTACGGAGTTACTGGCTGTGTTGTACTTGACATGAATCATCGAACTTTTCCCCCCTGACAGAATGGACATGACTGGACGAACGAGGAATCCCATATAGCAGATCTTTTTGATTCTTAGGTTGGTTACCCGCTTGTGGCCCTGCACCTCGCAGTTGTACTTGAACCACTTCAATTTTCACTTATAAGTACTTCTTGCCTTTTTTGCTATCAAATCATGCTTCCGAAGCCAGCCGCGCAAATGCAAGGCCTGCCTTAGGTTAGATTGCAAGATGGGAGCCATGTCTCCGTCCAGCAGAAATGTGTTGCTCATGTCAAGGGGCCCTGGGGTACATGGCCAGTTTCCTCCTTATTCCTGACAGCAGCAGAATAACAAGTAAAGCAGTACTGCCCTGCTTTAGGCCTTGCTTGCAGGGAATCCCAGGTGTAGGCAGCATGGGAAACAGGGGCTGTAGCATGTAGGTTCTATTTTGGGAGGTGTATTTTAAGGGCCGTTCAAGCCCAAAAAAACCCTAAACCCTGAACCCTTTGCCGTTGGCACCATCCTTCATCATGGGGATGTATTCTGGGCTTCCCAGCCGCGATCGGTCAGTGCTCTGCTTGCCGGTAGCCATTCGATGAGCTCAATGGCCAATTCCTTAGTGGCGGGCTCAGGAATGGAAAGAAAATGGAAACGGAAATGGACGCGGTGTTTCTGCTAGTTAGGGTTTAAGGTGTTTAAGGTTTAGTGTTTAGGGTTAAGGGAGAATACCCCAGTAATGCAAACATCAAATGGAACACAAAATTGAAAATGAACTGGAAACTATGCTTATGTAGGGGTATATATGTTGGGGCTACATGGAGTCGATATCGAGATGTTCTCAGGCATATCAAGAAGCTTTTTGGGGCAGGTGTCGCTGTGAGCGTTATAGAATTATAAGGGGTTAGGCTCATACTATTGACTTTAAACCAGCTGCTTCTAAGCCTCTGACCCCTGGTGGGGGGCTCTTGACAATGGGGATCATACAACACAAGGTCTATTGAAGCATGAGAAGAGACATGCATTTCCATGGGGTCATGTTGTGACAAGGCTGCGAGTTTGGGTGCCCCAAAACACTGTCCAATTTTGAGGAAACCAGCGCAGCACATAAATGTTAGTTCCATAAATTGGGCGATCCCAATATAGACCCCAAAATCCGGTAAACCTTATCATATGTACTAGATACTTTCCCAAAAACGACCCCTAATTTACGGGAACCCCAAAAGTTGAAACAAGGATACTCCCATCCTTTGTTGGAAGCTGAGACACGGCCGGCGCATACCAGCCAACTCCCCTGACAGTGGGGGTACTTATACGGATCAAAGTGTTCTGGTGTCTACACTGCGGTCCCTTATCTGTAGAAAATACCAACATGCCAGCAGAATGCGTGAGGCTGAGCAAGAACACTGACCGGAACATGAAGAACTTTCCTCCGAATCCCAAACAGATTCTGCAAGCGCTTGTATAAAGCCTTGACCCTGAGGTCCAGCAGCAATTGTCCATGCAATCTCACCCAGACTTAGCGGCGAAGCAGGCCTGTAGCTCAACTGCGCAGGTGTTAAAAGGAGATCCGCAGATGAAGCTACTGTTATAAGGAAACTAAAGATCATCTACTAGAAAGCTATATATATATATGTGATCCTACTAATTTTCTCGTGGCTCTTTTACGTTCTTAACAATCTACCCGGTCACTGCACGGGCCTGCTTCCCTTCTCCAGGCGCAGGCGCATGCTTTTCATCCTCAGTGCCAATCACAATGAGTACCATTGCTAATACAAAAGGCAGGCTGTCAACATGGTAGTCCCTGTTGGGGTCCCGAATATCCCAAAAAGCACCGACGATTTTGACAACCCGCCCACATCATCACCATGCTTCGCAGAAGACATCGTGAAGCAATACAGGAACTGCTCCCACACAACCCTTTGGATAGGCCCTAAACCTAATCCCAAAAACCCATAACCCTCACCTCTTTGGCGGTTAAGGAACTTAAAAACAAGGCTATAATGGCAACTGACCTCAGATTCCGGAACTCTCTGTATAACCCCAGTTTCCATTGATGTTTCATTTGATTCTCCACTTTGTGGGTAAAATTCCTGGACCCAAAACCCTATATAATCTATAAGCCTGACATAATCCCCACATAGTAGTTTTCATAAATAGGGGGAAGGCTATATAGAGCCCGATGACTACGATTCTTCATGGCGACCCCAAAATCCCTGATACCTACAGACTCATAAATAACCCCAGTTTGCAGTTCATTTTAGATATTCTCAGCTCGTCCACTCGATTCTCCATTTGTTGGGATCATGTCCCCAAAAACCCTTCTACAACCCCTGTAAAGCCCCCTGTATGACCCCAACCTAACCCTCAAATGATCACCCTAGAACCCTAAACCCCAAACCATGGCCCAAGGGTCAAGGAGTCCGGATCCGGGCGCAGCGCCACTGGGACCCGGGGCCACATCTGAAGCAAGGCCAGTAGCTCCTGACACAAAAACAATCTGGATTTAGGGCTTAGGGTTTAGGGCCTAAGGCTTACAGTAGGGTTTAAGGTTTGCGGTTTGGGTCTTTTTGTTTCAGGGCTTAAGGTTTAGGGTTTATGGAGTCAGGTTTAGCGTCAAGGTTTAAGGTTTGCGGGATGTTTTAAATGGGTGTTTTTTCAAAAAGTGGGTTTGGGGGAAGGGGTCCAGGAGTGGCAGTACAGCAGGGGTTTTTGGTCTTCAGACCAGCAGCGGGTAGCCAGGTAGCCGTGGCATGAGAATCAGGAGTAGAAGTAGCTGTAGAAGCAGAGGCAGCAGGAAGTATGAGTAGCAGTAGAAAAATGATGTGAACAGTCGGCGCAGTAATTAGCAGCTGCAAGCATCATGCTTGTCAGCGAGCTTTTTGTCCAGGAGTGCCATGTGCAAGGTGGAACATTCGCTTCATAGCTACTTCGAGGCACGCACTTTGACTTCTGCTGGGAAGGGATGCAAGACCCACATGGACAAGCACTGCAGGAACAGTCTCTTGGGTCAGTTCATATTCTTGATTCACCACAATCACAGGAAGATACAGGAATCACCAGGATTCGCTGTGCGTGTCCCAGATCCGCCCGTTGAACGGCAGGCCTCCACCAGGTACTTTGCCTGTTTGTCGGAAGCAAGCCTCAGGCCACACCAACAAACATCTTCTGATCCGAGCATGCCAGAATCCCAGTCAGACAGTTTCTGTCACAAAGATAGCAAGATACCCATCGATACCGATAGCAATGATGATATCAGGACATTGCCCTGCTGAAAGTACTGGCCTCTGAGGCACAATCATATCACTGGCACTGCATGCACTTCTTCCGCCAATTTCAGACAGGACTCGCCCAGAAGGTTTTCAGCAAACCTGCACGAGACAGTCAGGAGGCCAAACGCATGCCGAAAGGCTGGCGGCCCAGAGCGCATACACAACAGCACTTTGGCAGAAGACAGCCAACCCAGCTAAGCTAGGCCTGGATGCTGGATGTTCGCTGCATCGAAGCCGGCCAGGACACGCAGGACATCAGGTGCTGAGAAGGCCGAGGCCCGTGCCAAAGCCTGGAAGTAGGGCGAGCGAGCATGTTCTTTGTGAAAGTAAACAGCGCTGCCGCCACGCAAACAAGCTAGACGCTTACAAGAAGTGCGTCCCACCCACTGCGCGTCCCACCCACTGCGCACGTCACTGCGAGGTAATGCAACTGTTTTTTGTTCAATCTGAATGCATGCTTCAAAAGGCAGCAGGAATACTTGAATACGCGAGTCCAAGCCAAATTCTGGCGTAGACACAGACCTCGTGGAATCCGAACAAACTGGCCAAACAAATGCGCTGAAACACTGACTCGAGAATGCCACTAAGAGAGTCCAAGGGACTTCCTTCGTCAACGACTGCCAAAGAGTCTTCACCTTGACCTGCTGAACGCACTCATGGTTCACGAAACGCAATCCCATTTGGTACAAACTCCGGACAGCTGGCAGCTTGCCGGTCTTGGGTACTCCTATACTGCTGTTTTGCTCGGACTCTACAATGCTACGACCATCATGTTGTTATCATCATTCTCCAGCAAGCCTGGCCTGACCCTCGCCGAAGCCCACAGCCAGCCGTGCCAGCTGTCTGGGCGACAGCATCGGTGCCAGCTGCGTGGCTCGGTCCTGGGAGGAAAACTTTCTGCCACCCAGTCTTCTGTCACACAATAACCATGTATGAATGTATGCCGGTAGTCTAGTTGTCATGAAATGAGAACAGTCAAATCTGTCATCCATAGCTTGACAAATACGTATGCAGTTGTGCAAGGCAGGACTCTGCTCAGAAAAGGCCGCTTGCATGTACTTCTGCGATTGCTTTAACCAAGCTCCGTGCTCCGAGAACATCGAGCACCGGCCTGCGCAAGTCACAAGTCGAATTGACATTTCTAAATGTAGAGGGATATAGTTAGGAACCCTAGGGGAATTGCGCGCGCTGCTTCTTGGGGATCAGGGGATCATGTTGAAAAATGTTCTCTTGGTGGGTTCATGTGGGTTGCCGCCACTGCATGCCACTGCTGCAGCATGATGAGTTGCATTGTTTGTCTTCGTGATTACTACCACTCGCATGGGTACAGTTTTGACGAAGACCTGCATTCAAGTCTTCCACAGCCGCGTGCGTTAACTGACCTTCCCGGCCTGCTATCGGCTGCGAAAGGGCTCAGGCAGGGAACCGAGAGTGCCAACCACTGGCCATTGAGAGCGCTGGGCGATCGGGCCTCAGCACACCCTGTTGCGGTCAAATTTTCTAGAAGCATCATCATTGTGGTAAGGAATCCTTCGTAGAGCAGCCTAGATGCTGGTAGGATGAACACGGATGGCTCATACTGCCAAGCTGGACCAACGACTGTGGAGCCAACAGCTCTCCAAACTATGGTCGCGAGCCTACCATGAGCCAACTCTGCAAGAGAGATATATATATATATATAACGAGCTCTCAAAACCTGGAGGCTCTGTTTGCATCAAACACGCTTTTGCCTTCATTATCCAACTGACACATACACCGCTGTCAGAGGAGTCACTCAGGCAAGCTACCCTCACATCAGCTCTCAAGCAAGGCCAAGATGCAATAACTGACGACAGGCCCTTTACCAGCTTCTGCGCTTCGCGATCATCCGGCTCCAGCATGCCAGCCTTGCAGCAAGACTTGAACTTTACTTGAGCATAGCCACGAAAGATGTTGGAGCGTCTGGATGACACCTTACATGGCGATGTCCGTGGCTTTATATTCTCTACTATTGGATGACTTTGGTGGACTTATCGCTTATAGTCATAGTCACAACTAAAGGGTGGGGTTCCACCTAATGGATGACTAGGACTGATATCATTGAAAGTGAACTGCTTGGATGAGCCGAGCCTGCGAGAAGCTCACGAGGAGGCCTGCTGATTCCTTCACGGCACATCTGGAATCTGCATGAGCTGCCCACTCACTTGAAGTGGCAGAGTAGGGGTAAGCAATTCTAGCAAAATGCTGCACAAAAGACACACTGTTAGCCTGGCAGCTCGTCAAGTTTCTTTTTAACAGATTCTCCAAGTAGCCTTTATTGAAGCGAAAAGTGTCCTAATCATTGCGCGGCTCGGACTCTTTTGACCAGGTCCTAGATCCGCCGGCCTTGCTGCTTAGCTCCCCGGCAGCGAGACGCCGTGGCACTTCCGCGCGCAGAGCCTGGAAGAAGCTCCTCTGGAAATGTAGTGATGGTAGCAACAATGGGACGAAGAACATGCAGACAATGGCGGCCGTACCGGATCATCTCTCTTTACCCTGATGGATGCTCCACTACGATATGGCAGCCCTTGCCTACCTTCACAGGGCTGCTGCGGCTAATGTTTAGGCACTTATGGCGCCCTGTACTACGCCATGCGAGCAAATGACTATCAGTACTACTGAGTTGCCATTGTGCAAGGTTGTGGCCAACGTGCTCCGTGTATGATTGTATACCCTACAACACCCAACAGGCCCGATTGGAAGCCAATCCTTGGAACATCTTACTTAGGACCCAGGAAAAAGGCAGGAGCTCATGTTAGCAGCGCCATGGTCAGGAGCGTGGATGCCGAGCACTAGTACATCCCACACGTGTCTCCACTGGGCAACATTCCTTCTCCTCATTCACAATTCACGTGCCTTGACACACTGCCGTGCACCAAAAGCACTGTCCTTTGACTACAGCTACGCTTGTCAGCAATACTATTATGGTTATCCTTACACTGCTGCTGCTACCACCACTTCTCCTTCTCCTTCTTCTACTACTACTACTACTACTACGACTACGACTACGACTACGACTACGACTACGACGACGACGAGGACGAGGACTACTGCTACTACTCCTCCTCCTCCTACTCCTCCTCCTCCTCCTCCTCCTGATCCCCCCCTATAGCCGCTACTTAAGGCTTTGGGTGTTTGCACCACAGCGCTCCTGTGTGCTCCTCTTGCCACTTCCGCACGGGAGAGCGAGTAGGCAAGCGCTGACAGATCATCACCTCACGAGCGGGGCCAAGACTTTAGGGTTCAGGGTTTCGGAGTTCAGGAGTGAAGGTGTTGAAAAGCGCCCGTGGCTTGTGGCATCATGACTGCTCTTGTGCCCGTGTGTGCAGCCCTGTTGCTGCTCTTGCTCCTGCTGCAAGTACCACTACCATCAATAACACCACCAACAACACCACGGCCTTTGCTTTGTTTACTCCTCCTTCTATGACCAATACTTGCTGTGTGACATGAAGTATAGTGGCTAGTTCGACGATGCCTCCGCAACTCTCGAGGCGTGGCGAGAGCCAGTTCATCAGCGCAGACGCGAGCTTGGCATCCACGAAGCCCATCAAAGAAAAGGCTGATGCAGCGTGACCTTTGGAAATTTACTGTGGTCCCCAGGAACAACAGCAGAGCCTCCACAACTCAAGCAAAAAAGATTAATGAGAGAGGAGGACGCTCATGCTATTTTTGGGGTCCATTCTAATTATTGCTGAGCGAGGACAGGACCCTTCGCTGCAGACGAAGATCGCATCGGAACCAAACCAAACCTGAAATGGTCCTGGTACCCTATCTCTGAGCACTGTGCGGACTTCCCGCACACCGAGCTCACCAGCCTTGATGTGAGCTCTGAGGGCAGAGGCCTTGAATGTTCGAGGGCGGGCGAAACATGCAAAACAAAAAATAGTGGTTGACAAATGTCTATTGCAATCCAGCTGCAAGTGATGTGAAAAGGCCATCATCGCGAATCTGAAGCTTTGCCAGACCATCTGCGATGAGTATTGTGTCCATTGCCTGTCGCGCGGATTTGGCCAACCTGCCTCTGCAGTCTCTTTACACATCTTGTACACTTTCTAAGGAGCCATGCATCTGCAAGTCTTCCCCTGAAGCCGTTCTGCAAGCTTCTGAATCCGAAGCAACTCAACTCTTGAAGCCGGATCCATACTTCGTATGACTTCAGCGCACAAGCTGAGAAATTAAGCGCCAAGGGACTGATGTGGCTCCTGGGCCCAAGGCCTCATGCAGGACAAAAATCAATTACCGGCATTGCCGTGAAGCCTTTACCTGGATTGCATCATGTGCAGGAAGTCATCGCTAGGCTAGCTCTGCAACCAAGCCTTCTGCCGCCTCCGTAACTCTGAGTGGACAGCCTGCAGGAAAAAAAGCTGGACCGTGCCAAGTTGCAAACATCTTACTTTGCAGGAAAAAATCAACTTCGGCACATGTCGACATCTTAGGTTGCAGGCAATGCTGCTGCTGATACTCGTCCATCACGTCTGACGTACTCAACCCAACTCTCTCTCACCAGTAAATCAGGGCCTCCAGAAGACGCTGCGGCTCCTCATATCAGGCAGCAATGAATTTTCGTGGACTGCTGATGCGGTCCGGTATCCTGCTTGTATCAATTCCTCGCCATGAAACGTATACTCACCTCTGCCAGTTCCCAGAATCGCCGAAATGATCAATCAGACACGTGATATGCGAGCCAAAGCAGCACCGCTAGCCAAAACCCAAACTGCAAAAACGCAACTGAAGGGGTTCTGCTTGAGCTCTTGCAAGGGATATACAATATCAATCCCTAAACCCTAAACCCTAAACCTTCATTGCCATGATTCGGGTATTTAGCACTCTGCACTGGAGCTCCTCCTTTTGGAGCTGGACCAATCCTGCAGCCTGACAATCTCGCAAATTAGGACTGGTTGAAGGTATAGTCCCCCTTAAGTAGATAGAATATAGGGTATTTAGGGTTTAAGGTATTTAGGGTTTAGGGTTTAGGGTATTTAGGGTTTAGGGTTTAGGGTATTTAGGGTTTAGGGCATTAGGGTTCAGGGTTTAGGGTATAGTCCCCTTTAAGTAGATAGAATATGGCTTTGGGTACATTTCAATAAGATCCCCATATACCCCATATTCTATCTACTTAAGGGGGACTATAGTATCTGGGGGGTTACTTTCCTGATTGCCAAGACCCAAAGGGTGGCCGTGATCTTGGCTAAACCTTCCAGTGCTGTGCATGTAACACATTTTTGTCAAGACTCCTATGCTGGTGCCTCAAGCTTTGCCAGGCTGTGCAGAGCCGTAGCCAGCTGATGGCCTCGATGCTAAGAAGCCCTCTCAAGCTTTACATGAGACTTGAATCTAAGATTCTGAAGATAATCCGGTGCATGCATAGCTTCCATGAATGGGGGATAGTGCCGGTCGCGAGAACCCAAAAAGGGGCCCTGTTTTTTGTCCTCTTTTTGAGGCCCAAACCAGAGAATCCCGGGGCCGAGTCTGCGCAAAGACCCAGCACTTTCGGCAGCCAGACCGGCGAGAGAGATAGGCGCGCCAAAGCCCAGAGCCTCATCTTCTGATTGAGTGGTGGGTAGAATCAGGTCAGATTAGATTCTTCTTCTGAAGTACTACAACCAGAAGGAGGATATAATCTCACTGTAACATTGCGGACTAGACTGTTCCCAAGTAAAACACCGCTCAATTGCACTGTTTCTCTTAGCGCCTTCTTGAAACTCCATGCCCAGGTTTGCTATGATTTTGGCTATTTATGCTCACTGAAAGTGGCAATGGTGGCAAGGGCCCTGGTAAGTCTACCATCTGCTGCTCATCCCAGGCGCAAGCAGACACGGGCTTGGGCTGAGAGCACCTCCAGCGCCTGAACACGTCTCCAGAAAAAACATTACTCAATATAGCACTAATACAACCCCAATATATACCCTACTATAATATAATAGCTTCCATTTTCTTTTCCATTATCCCTATCTAGCCCCAAGGAAGTCCAGCTTCAGCAGCGGCACCCGAGCAGCGTTTTTGTTGGAGGCTACTTAGTGTAGCACAACCAAAAGGAGAATCGAGCTTGGCACTGAGGACTATGGCATCCTAATTAGGGTTTAGGGTTTATATAGGGGCTAGATAGGGATAATGGAAAAGAAGATGGAAGCTACTATTTAGGGTTTAGGGTTTGAGGTATCCTGTTGCAATAATATAGTAGGAATATAGAAGTAGTTACTATAGTACAAACATCGTAGTAATATACTAAAAAAATAGAAATAATAATGATAATAATAGTAATAATAATAACAATAATAGAGTAATAACATAGTCAGTAATATAGTAGGCATCCCGTTTAACAGTTCTACTCAGCCGGCCTCTGGCTCGGCCAGGCGCTTCACCAGCATGGTGCGGACCGGATCTGAGGCAAAGGCCTCAAAGTTTTGACCGCAAAAAACTTCCTCTAGGGTTTGGGTTTAGGGTTTGGGGTTTAGGGTTCAGGGTTTAGGGTTAAAGGCAGTTATATAGGGGACTACTACAGGAAAATATAGGGATATATACAGGGTTTAGGGTTTGGGAGCTACAGGTCGCGAGGTTCCACACAGACAAAATCCCCAAACCTCTACAAAACCCGTTAGTTTCTGGAATCTTTTCCGCTTCCCAGCATATAATATCCCTTCGTACCCCTATTTAACCCTACATCCCCTGAAGTAACCCCATGTCCAAAAACATTCCCGTATGTAATCCCAATATACCCTTATGTAACGCCACAAAATCCGCTTGTAAAACCCTAAGCTTATTGGCTCTTAGTAGGGAAGCAGGGAATGTGTCATATTGAGATTATATAAGGATTATATTCCCTTCTTCCCTACTAAGTAAAATCCTACAACTCGCCTCGGCTGAGCTGCGGCGGGGGCCCAGTCTTGCCAGCCGGTACAGGGCCTCAAGGAAAGGAGGTTTTGGGGATACTAAGGTTTAGTGTTCAAGGTGGTTAGGGTTTTAGGTTCAAGGTTTAGGGCTTAAGGTCTGGGGCTGTACCCCGGGAGCTTATAGGGGACACTATATAGGGTCATTATACCCTAATAGATTTTCCCCCCAAAATACAGAATGGCACTGTATTTGGGAAAGGAGTTATTGGGGAGACCTTGGCAAAACCCACAGGGGCTTACGGAGGGTTCTTGAAGTCCCCCTTACAAAACCTAGGGTTTCATGGAACATTCTACGGCTCCTGGTTGGGGATTGGAAGTCAGTCTTTGATAATGCCCACACTCAGTAACCCTCTTATAACTGGGTGGGGGCCGTACCCACAGGTCAGTCGAAGATGGGTCGCCGGCGGTGGCTGCATGGAGGCAGTCCAAGTCATCGGCATGGTCGCCTCTTGTGAAGTCAGAGAGCCCCATTTGTTCATGGGCTTTTTCTAGGAAACACCTGGTGACCGAGCTGTCCTAGAAAAACCTAGAAGCTTCTAGCACTCTGTCATTCCGACCATGGGCACCAAATGCTCTGCTTTGTGCAAGTGGAAGGGTTGAAGCTCGAATCTCCTACCATCATCGGCCCCGTGCTGCTCAATGTATGCTTGCCGGGTTTGCATCTGAGCGGCTCACAATTTCCTTGGTAAAAGGCTGCTTTGAATGCTGTAGCTAATTGTCTGCTTTATGCTTGACAACACAAGTGGAAAGTGGATGCTGAATTGTTCGGACAGGCAGCAAGCACATGTCCCAGACTCCTTGCGGTCAGTGAGGCAACAACGCAGCAATGCTTGTGACAGACTTGCTGGTCATCGCTGCAGTGCTTGTGACATCCCATCCTGGCCCCGGCGATCTTCGCCTGGATCAGTGCTGCCTCGGACGTGCCAGCCTCGAAACCGATTGGCAAATTCTTGGCATTCTGGGATATTTTGGGGAGAGCTAACTGGACCTTACCTGCTCGGGCTCCGCCTCCCTCGCTGGGAGGTCCACGGCTATGAAGTCCAAATCCTGACCAGTTGGACTACACTTTTTGTAACCACAACTTGATGAACCGTGCCTGGCCTCGGCAAGTCCTGGCTCGCCCTCGAACAATGCTCCCTGTTCAGCACCTTTCAGCTCAGTGTTAGCACTGCAAACACATGCTCAGGCTGAGAGCATGGGAGGCAATAAGTCGTGGTCACTGGAATTTCATAAAGGAGCCTGCGGCGTCGGCTGCCTGCTGGTTCAGCACCGATAGCCTGGCTTTTGCATGAAACCCCAAGCGCCCTAGCTGAAAAGTTTCAGCCCGCAAGAACACTCTACACCTCAGCCGGTTGGATTCTTCGCCATAGAAGTTAACGCATTTGAGTCGTGGATTGACATGGGCCAAGATGGTTTTGGGCGGGAACCATCCATAAGAGGGCCCATTGAAATGTTGCCCTGCTTTGACCTTCCAGCAAACTTCTCGCGTACGCTTCGTGTCCATAGCCCATTCGCCTCCTGCCGCAGTCTTCAGCCCGGCAAGAAGACTCTGCGCGCAGCTGGACAAAGTTGCCACATGTGTTCTTCCAGAAAGACGGAGCCTTCACCCTGTTGCTTATCTGCGTAAACAGCATCTAGAAGTGAAGGGTCTCTGCAATGCTAGAAGACCGCAAGGGTCCAGCACTTCCCGTGTCACCGCTGGCTTGAGCTTGAACGTCTTTAAGCATCTGCCTCCACGATGTTCACTACTGTTCCGAAAATCTGGACGCTGCCCTGTCCATACCGTGCCGTCTGCCACGTTGTCACAGTGGCGCTGCACGGCCCTCATATCTGTACTGCCGGTGGCAGCAGGTATGAAAGCTTGTCAAACAAACTTGGGCCTGCAAGCCTCAGGCAGATGTTCACTGCATCCACAACCCTGACATGAAGCTGCCTCAGGGCCAGGGGTTCGTAGAGCGGTGGCGAAGGTCGAGGCCTGACACAGCGAGGGAAGAAGAAGCACATTTTGGGTGCAACACCTGCATAGGCTGGTTGATGCAGTTGCCACTATCTTCTCTTTTGGCCCTTTCTGCCATGCTTGGCTTCGAATGGTTGCACAAGAGCCTCTCTACTTTGCGTCTACATTTCATGCGGACTCTGCCTCCGTGCAGAGCCCGGGGGGCGCTGCTTCTCCCGCGCCTGGCACACCCTAAATCCTAAATCCCCCCTGGTTCCTGGGTGTCGGCACTCACACTTTGACAGCACAATCCAACCAGCGCACCATTATTGTCGAATGTGAACGCCTCCAAGATTTGACATTGATGAGTCAACCGTGCCCTCCGGGCCTCCGGGGCGCGGCGGCTGGCAGCCTTTGGGAAAAGCTTCCATGGATTGCAAATGGCAGAGTGTTCACCGGGAAGTTACAACACCACAACATGCTGCCGAATCATCGAAACGCGAGTTGCATCCATGCTCCCACCAAGGAGCCCATCGAACTCTCTGCTTGAAGGCCCGCAGCAGCCGCGGAGCACGCAGCATGGCAGTGTGTTCAGGCGCTCAAGGACAACATCTGGGCTTTTATCAAGGCAACGGCTTCTCATCAGGTATCCTCCCTTGCACGGCACAAAGAACATGTGTGAAGAGGACTACTTGTAAATTTCGCAAGTGGATTCGGATGCTTCAGCCCCCAGCTGCTACATTTGCGGGTGGTCTGCTTCCCATCACACTCATTCTGCTGCGGGTGTCCGAACTCGTCTACTAGGCAGTCCTTCCCAGCAGCGATTGCAACTGTACTGACCGATAACACTAGATGTCCAGTGCGTCTGCTCTGACTAAGCAGTCATTTAACTGGGGCTGTCATGAATGCCATCCTGGTTATCGTGCTTGAAGATGCAATGATATTTCTGCAGTTGTTTTTGTTCTCACATTACAACATCTTGCGCATAAACATGTACGTAGACTGAGTACTGCACTTGTCTGGGTTTAGTTGCATTGCTTCAACCGACTCAGCCGAAGTTTGACACCCACAGCGCCGCCAAGAATCCAAGCAAGCAGACCGATTCCGGGAATGACTCCAGCAAAGCTTGAGGGACATCACTGCGTGCTGAACTGTCGAAGGATTTGTTTTTTCTACGTGCTCCACGCCCGCTTGAGTCATGCGGGTTCGCAAAGCGTCAAACCTCAGGTTCTGGGGCCCTTGATGTTACAAGAAGCTCGCGATGTATAGTAGTTTCCATATTCCATTCCAGTATCCCCATATAACTCCCATACAACCCCTATATAACCCCTATATAACCCCTATATAACCTCTATATAACCCCCATATTACCCCTATATAGCCACTACATAACCCCTATATAACCCCCATTCAAAAAACTGGCGCCGACCAAGCTCAGGGCCAAAAGCATAGCCGCTCAGTGGGAGACCAAGCAGCTTTGCCCCTGATAGCTGGTTTAGGGTTTAAGGTTCAGACTTCAGGGTTCAGGGTTTGGCGTTTAGGTTTCAGGGTTTAGGGTTTAGGGTTTAGGGTTCAGGGTTCAGGATCTAGGGATTAGTGTAGGATCATAAAAGTTGCTTGACAGCACATGCATACCCAGGGTTCAAGTCTAAGCCCTGCCCTGCCCACTATCGTAAGGTGATCAGGTGCTTCCCAATTTCTGCATGACTAGCCACCCCTCCAGTATTATCATCATTACCATTATTTGCACTACTAGTATTACTATTGTTACATTTGTTGTTATTATTACTATGACTGTTATCACTAGTATCTTGATAATTATTATCATCATGGCTACCATTGGTTGTATTGATATACCATTACTATTCTCACTGTGAACATTATTATTACTAGTATGTTTGAGGAGTATGGGCCAGGCCTCGAAATCTTAATCATTGCCTCCGATGCTCGGAGTC